GTCGAGTACTGTCCAGATGTCAACGTCATTGTGACGGGCAGCTGGGACCAGACGGTCAAGTTGTGGGATCCACGCACACCGTGCAATGCTGGGTCCTTCTCACAGCCTGATAAGGTGAGTTGTATAACCTCAAAACATTTAGCTCATTTATTTATTTATTTTCCACTCGGCAAACACATGTATTATGATGTATTCCTTTTTTTTGTGGCCCAATCCTGTAAAAAATACTTGAAGTATAGGGTGAGTAAAAAAAAGGAAACCCAAATGGCAGGACCATTTTCTCAATAAAGTTCTGCATGTAGCACTTTCAAAAACTAGTTGAAAGCCAATTAATATGCTTTCTATTGGTACTCGTGTACTTTTCAAGTTACAGAATGTTAAACACAACCATCGTTTTTAAGTTCTGTCCCAAGGATCACAAAAACAGGTGAGCGTTCTTTCAGCAAAACAAGAATAATTCACACACATCCCTATGTGGACAGAACTTTAACACAGTGGTTGTGTTTGAAATTCTGTAACTTAAAAAGTACATAGCAGTGATTTGAATGATTCTTGTACTAAGTGAAAGCTTATTAATTGGGCTTTCATATCCTAGATTTTGATAGTGATACATGCAGAACTTCATAAAAAAAATTGGTCCTGCCATTTGGGTTTCTTTTTTTTTGACTTGCCCTGTATAGTAAAAATTTGAGCTGCGAGCCTTACAATCCAGTAGTTTTCGCTATGAACAGTTTTTGTGTTTAATTTTGTATCTAGTAAAAATGCAATGTAAGAACTTACTGAAATGTTTTAAAGAGAATTAAAAATGGGTCCTTTATTTTACGCAATCTGCCTTCCAGTTTTACTCTTACAAAGTATCAAACCTATTTAATTTGCAAAGAAAGGTATTAAGTTGATCACATTAAGGTTTAATTCATACATTTTTTTCAGTGATCATCCATTGGTATGTTATTTTTGTTAACCATAAACATTATCTAAAATGAATTATGTGTGAGGTTTTCAATACGCTGCCAAGCCAAGATCAGTGCTTTGCCTACATGCGACAGTCGGACAAGCGGCTGCTTTTGTATGCCGTTTAAACCGCGTGTGAACTTTTTAACATGTTTAACAAGTTAAACTTGAGTGTCCACCCTTAACCCAATGTCTCTCTCTTAACAATGCAGGTTTACACCATGGCAGTGTCAGGCGACCGACTTATTGTAGGCACGGCCGGCCGCAAGGTCTTGGTTTGGGACCTGCGCAACATGGGCTACGTCCAGCAGCGGCGCGACTCCAGCCTCAAGTACCAGACTCGCTGTATCCGTTCATTCCCCAGCAAGCAGGGCTACGTACTGAGCAGCATTGAGGGCCGAGTTGCCGTGGAATATCTGGACCCTAGCCCCGAGGTGCAGAAGAAGAAGTACGCCTTCAAGTGTCACAGGCTAAAGGTAAGGTTTTTAAAAAAATTTGGCTTCTATTGCTCAGTCTGATTTGATATATTTTGCTACATTCACTTTTTTACAAATTGTTCTGTTGATTTATATTGATGTAAGTATTTGGAAAATCTTCACCCCTAGGTGGATGGGATTGAGAACATCTACCCCGTCAATGCAATCGCATTCCATAATCTCCACAACACATTCGCCACGGGGGGCTCGGACGGTTTCGTAAACATCTGGGATGGGTTCAACAAGAAACGCTTGTGCCAGTTTCACCGCTACCCAACGACTATATCCTCACTGGCTTTCAGGTGAGTCCAAAATAAAAGTACAATAGACTGTAAAATATTTATGGTTAAAAAATGCTGCTTTGACTGTTTTTGCTAAAAATAAAAGAAGCAAAAGAAAATCTGGTGGATTGGAAAATGTGTATCACAATTATTCATACATGTAACTTTACAACAACAGATTGTTTCTTTAATCCGGAGTGCAACAGACCAAATTGTTTTGACCAATCACTGCTGTGACTATGCAGCCAAATGCTTCACAAAAGCCTGATATACGTGCACTTTATACACACAACAAAATACTGTGTGGAATTGAGGAAGTGAGATGCATGTGTCGTGGACCAATGTCCAACGTACATGTAGGTGGGGCATATGGCAATTATGGCATATCTCCACTGACTTTCTTTCTAAATTCTCTCCCTTTCCAGCAAGGATGGGTCAGTTCTGGCCATCGCGTCGTCGTACATGTTTGAAGAAGGAGAACAGGATCATCCGGAAGATGCTATCTATATCCGAAGAGTTACAGACCAAGAGACCAAACCAAAGTAGGAAAAGAAGTCCAAGTAGGAACAAAAGCCCAAGTAGGAAAAGAAACCCAAGAAGGAAAAAAATAATCTAAGCTAGCTATTGACAGTCAGTTTTTGTTAGTTACACTAGAATTGTAATAATTACCGGCTTTAATAAAAACATCCTTATACTTGCAGGCATACTGACATTTAAATAACTTCAAGCCTAAGTTGTCCCTCAGGGCTTTTTTCCTGCTTTTTTTGTGATGAATGAATTGTAAAACTGTAAATATTCAGTAACTAGTAATGATTTGATGTTCCTTACAAATAAAAACATGCCGCTTTCTAGGGGCTGTTGTAAAATAAAGCATTTCGTCACCTTCGTTTAAACAGTATTGATTTCGAATGCATGTTGTTAATCATCCCCCTCGCTCAAAAAAATTCCACTTAACTTATTTTTATCCATACATTTAGACATACATAGCCTTGCTCAAGGCGTTCGTCACTATCGTCTGCATGGTAACCGGCGGCCAAATATCCTCGCAGCCTGCTAACTCGTTATTTTTTTGTGTGCAGTGCAAAAATACAGCGCGAACAGCGAACTCCTGTGGTCGCTATATGCAAATCAACTGGACCCGGATCCAGTTGACTTGTCCATTAATAGTAGCTAATTTTTTTTGGCACTGCACACACTCGCAGTACAGCTAATGAGTATGTGGGCAGCGAGGATAAAGTTTGGCAGCCGGTTACCATGCGGACGGTGAATGCCTTGGCCAAGGCTAATATACATATGTGACCTGTCACCACAACATGAGCTTGAAGTCGGAAATTGCCATTTTGCAGTACAGGGGGGCAAAGCCAAAATTTGAAGGGTCATCAATTTTTGTTTCCAGGTGAATCTTAATCTGTAAGTTCTCTTTTAGCTTTCTCAATTTTTATTGTTTTGTCAAACATCTTTAAAACCTATTTTCATCCCGTTTTATTAGTTGACTGTTCATTCACTGTAACACAACTGTTGGATTTTTTTAAATGCCATTTTGTCGAGAATCAGTTTTACAACTTCAAGTAATTGGTGGTTTATATTTCCGTTACTGAAGTCAGCACCCCTAAATATTATATACCATTGGAAAGCTCTTGTTCTGCAGAATCCAAATAAATAGATATCTCAGTTCTTAAAAAGTCTGACTTTAAGCTCATTTTGTGACAACAGATCACATATAGATATCTACACTCAAGGAAAAAAGAAACGCACCACTGATTTTTTTTTAGTTTTAGCCCGAATGGCATTTACAGTTCAATAATTAACATTCGCGTCAAGAACAGCTGTAATTCGTCGCCTCATGGATCGACAGTAATGTCGCAGCTGGTCCTGTGGGATAGCAGCCCACTCTTTCTCCAGTGCCGCCCTCAGCTGCTGTTGTGTCTCTAGGGGATGATCTCGTTGTCGGATGTGACAACTGAGCAAGTCCCACACATTCTCGATGGGGTTCAAATCCGGATTGAGAGCTGGCCATGGCAACACCTCGACATCGTTCTCCTCCAGGAAGTCGGCGCACACGCGAGCCACATGGGGACGGGCGTTGTCCTGCTGGAACACAGCACGACCCCCAACTCGCTCCAGTAAGGGCAGTACAATTGGGTCCAGGATCTCGTCACGGTAGCGGGCAGCATTGAGGTTTCCTTCGATGAAAACCAAGTCAGTGCGTTGATTGGCCGAGGTGGGACAGCCGGTTGGCACGGTCTTGCGCAGCGGTCGTGACCCGCGGCCTGCCAGCTTGGGGACGATCTGCGGAGGTGCCGGTAGTGTTGTAGCGCTGTTCAAGACGCACAATCGTTGAGTGGTGGACCCCGAACAGCCTGGCCACTGCCCGTCAGTTCCTTCCGGCTTGGAGCATGCCAATGGCTCGGTCTCTCTCTAGATACAAGTGTTTTTGGCGTCATTTTGGTGTCTTTTTATAGGCAAGGGTTGCGTTCAGGAAATGAATGGTCAAACACATATCTGGGAGTCACTCATGTGTAACCATTAGTATAAAATACAAAAACACAGTTTTTGGCACTCACCCAAATCACTCAACCGGAACGCAATAAATACACATTGACGTTTATCTCTAAAATGCTCAAAATCTAGAACATGCACCATTTTTACAATGCCGGTCCTACTTCCTAAAAATATGAGAATTGTTATGTGGTGCGTTTCTTTTATCCTTGAGTGTATAATTCACAAGAGTCAAGTCTGAAAATATGTTTTTAGTTAAAGCTCAGTCCATCATTTGCAGCTATCTAAATAGTAACTGACGTAATTATTGTTGAAAAGCATACTAGGTTTTAAGATAGTAATGGGACTAAACTCCCCGTGAAATTATTCTTCATGGCAAGCTGTTATTTTGAAGTAATCGATGAAAAAAGGCCTTTCCAACCATGCGTCTATAGAGAGGCATCATTGGAAATTTCTGTTAGTAATTAGTTTTTTATTCGGCGAAGCGCTCACAAGTGTTGACACAACACACGTGCGTGCAGTTACTATAATTTGTCGGTTCAGTGCGCGACATCATGTAACTGCAATCTGCTGAGTGAGAATGTGTCTCGGACGCTGAATTCAGGCCCAATTCAAAACATGACTCAGCAACTTTGGATTTGCTATCGAGATCATAGAATAGTGACTGTGTTTTCTCGGAATATACAGCATTCACTGAGCTGAAACTTCATCAGGTTAGTTGTTCAGCACCCTTCCTTAGATTTGAGCGCTTTTGTTGCTTCAAACGAACATAATGCACAAAGTACAAATGATGGATACTACCTTTAACATAGGTGTGATGCCAATCAACCATTTTGGACAAAGCACCCACAGCCCCGTTTATTCTATTCCAGCACAACTTCAACAAACAACAATTTCCCAACAATTAATGTTTTTTATTTCCGACTTTTGCTTCTGCTGGATACTGCAACAATCTCCACTACGGGACATGTAAGTTGCAGGCAACAACATAATAATTTGACCACAAGTACAGTAATTTGGGTTGTTGGAGTGGCGCACCCAAGGGAGGGCTTGAGCCCCCCCCCCCCCAAAGAGGTTGTCAATTTTTTTTTTGGTCCCACGATTTGACCTTGGTGATATGTTTGTGGCCTATTTTTGAGTAGTATAATAGGGGTGTTAGTGGCACCACAAACTTCACAATAGTCTGGCCCCCGAAAAAAACACCCAATTTTGTTCTGCGCCTATTAATCTGCGGCCAAACATTTTGGGCAATATTTGTTCAAAAAAAAAAAATCTACTTCCAAAAAAATTGAAAAAAAAAATTTGAGCCCTCCCCCAAGCCAAATCCTAAGTGCACAACTGGGTAGTTAGGAGTACAAATAGTATTAATGCAAATTGGACATTACAATTCACAGCTCAAAATGGTTTCAACAATACATTAAAGTTAAGACAAAAGAACATTATCTGATAATGAAGTATTTGACTGCCATGTGTAGCAAGCCATAAATCATGAATAATGCTATTTGGTTTGTGACTGATTTACACGAACATGAGCATACTGAAATGGATGCATACCTTGTACTACAAGCACAGCCATTGACACTTCATGCATGCAGTAGACATTTTTCTTATTGGATACTGGCACTGCAGCTCTGCCAACAATCTTGACAATGGTGATGTGTATTACTAGTGATTCCACCCTGCAAATGAAAGTCATCCTTGCAGTTCTTTCATAAGTTTCCAAACCAAAAGCTTACAGGAACTCTTGGCACACAAGTGGTCCGCAGTCTGCATGTGTCGCCCTTGTCAAAAAATTGTAAACGATGACCTCAAATGACCTCTAGATGACCTGTAGTGGGGGTGCTGTGGTCCAATGGTAACGGTGTTCAGTGCGTGACATCACGCAGCTGCCATCGACTGAATAGGAACCTGTCCCGGACGCTCATTTGGGCGCAAATCAAAAGACGACTCCGCAAATTTTGAACTGAAATCGAAAACCTAGAATATTGTTTTCTTGGAATATGCAGCATTCACTGAGCTGAAACTTCATCAGGCTAGTTGTAAAGCACCCTTCTTTAGATTTTGAGCAATTTCTTTAAGTTTTCTCAAATTAAGGTATCTTTCTTATTCATACATGGGAATTTATATTTGTAATTTAATATTTTTAATTTTAAAAATTATGTTAAAATAATATTTCGGACAACTTTAATTTTTTTGTCATACTTTTATACCACAGGCAAACAAACCCACACTTTCTTTTAGCAATGGTTCGGCCTTTCCAAAAGGTCAGTTGAAATCAGGGACTGTTTACATGATTTTGGTACTTCCTACAGGTTTTATTCATATGAAGCACATCTATGAGTTCGGATTAACAAAAATTTAGACGGCGCACAAAGTACAAGTTTGTTGCATGAAGGTCTTTTCATATTATGTGTTTCCCCCCATTTTTTCCCCTTAAATTCCTTGCCTTCACCAACAAAATATTATATACATGTACATATATTAAAATATCCATTCTTCAAGACGACATCTTTTGCCAAACATAAATTTAAAAGGGTGATGACTGTTTAATTTTTTCAACTTTTCTCCTCACACTGAACAAAAAGATCAATTTTTTATACAGCAACCACTTTTGGTTGTTTAACATGCATGTGAAAGGGTGCACAAAAGCAAGGCATGTTAGACTGGCACCTCTGATGCAGTCACCCGCTTCATAAACAATCCATAACCACTGGGTCTTGAAACCAGACCAAGATGGCTGCCACAGTCGAAAGTCTCATTGGTTCACTCGATACACCATCATGATACATCTTCCAACATGGAGGGGCTTGTGTACATTAATGTGGAATGCTTGTGAGTCCGACTAACACTGACATGTATTCCACACTGGTCGAGGTAAATGCCAATTAAAATCGTCTCCTTTCTTTCTACTGGATAACACAACAGGAATTCGTCTTTTTTGCCTGCCACAGAGAAAAAGAAACATGCAGTCACACATCTTCTTTACCATACAATTCAACACACCTTCTTTACAATACAATCCAGCAATGTGTCCGAACTAATCTATTCAATCCTTCGTCACTATGTATTTTTGCTATAAACCTTCCTGAATTGCCCCCCCCCCCAAAGAATAATTGAAAACAGAATATGAAAAGTAGTAGTAACGTCTTCGTCAATTTTCATTTAAATAACTTGTAAGTTGACTTTGGACCAGATGACTTGTGATAAACTTGTTAGGACTTGACAACAAACTTTGTGTCTCACTTAACTTTATTTGTAATCGCCATATTGCCATTTTAAGGGCGTTTTGGTGCCTTTATGGTTTTTATGCTAATGCAAATTTCTGTATTAATCCAATCTGTGGTGTCATTCTAGGCAGAAATTTAATTTCACATCTGCGTGACTGAAAAGTCACCAGAATTTTAGGGCATTGCTGTGTTTTTGGGGTCTGTCTTCAAATTATGAATGGAATTATATGGATAAGAAAATATTGGAAGTATGAACAGGAAGAACATACCGTTTTATAGAATGTCTTGGACTGTACACTAAGGTCGTTGGATTTGGCTACGAGGTCATCAAGCTTTTCGCCACGCTGTAACATGGCGTCTATTGTATCGTGCTGCCAACAAAAACAAACAAAGTCAGAACTTGAATTTCAGTTTACAAATATTTAAACTACAGGGCTAGTAAATTCAAATATTTTACTGGATCAAAAACGTTTTTTTTCCCATTAACTAACGTTGAAATACACGTACATGTATTAAAGAAAATGCATTTATCTGAAAGGTTTAAGTCAAGAAATTTACATGAAAACCCTTGTTCACGATTCATACAAATTGTACCAAAGAGGAAAGTAATTCTAAAAGATGAACATTCTCACTTGGTAAAATGAGAGTTAAAATGGAGCATTTGATGTTTACTTCCCTGATCCATCAGATTATTGGCCAATGACAGAAGTGTATTTGGCTCATAAATATGTATGAGGGTGATGATTGGCCACTCACCATGATGACTTTTGTTTCATCCAGGTCACTCTGAAGTCTCATCATAGGGTCTGCCTGGGATGGGTTCTGAGGTGAAATTGATTAATAAAGTTGGGACAAGGACAAACGTGACAAAATCCTAAGAAATCAGTCTTAAAGGCATATTACGGCCTGGAATGTGCCCAATTGGGCTATAAAACATGTTTTAAACGAAAAGATATTAAACAGAAAGAGCATCAAAAAGGAGAATATAAATGTCCACACTACCATCCTTTCAAAAATGGGCATTTTTGTGTTATTCTTGTGAGAACAATGCAAGAACGAAGTTTGGGGGTCACAATTTTGTCCCTGAAAAATCAAGCTGTTCAGTGCTAGTTGTGATCCAGCCGCACAGTGGTTTGCATAGTGGTTTGGACGTCCATCTGTTTATTTGTAATGTGTCACCTATACCACACACACAACGTGTACGCTGCATTGAACAGACACGAACTTGTAATACATATAGGTATGCCACAAAATGTCCATCGCGCCCGATGTAAACAACCAGGTTATTTTGTCTTTTCTTGGGAATGGTAAGACATCAGGTTTGTCTCCTTTCAACCACAGCTGTAATTAAACAATCCAACATTTTTTTGGATTTCAGGCCGTAATGCCACTTTAATGGCAATGTTTCGCTTATTAATTTTTCACATGCATGGGGAGCGCATAATTTCCACTTATTTAATTTTGATTTATCACCAAGTTTGGCATTGGATATTACATGTATGTGGATTTTTTTGTGATAATTCGCAATTGGCCGGTATACTCCACAAAATTCTCTCGACTTATTTCCAGCGGGGTGCCTTGGTAGAAGATGTGGAAGGAAAATTCAGTTTTAGTGGTGGGAGGAAAACCCCAGAATAATCTGCTAGGAAACACCCACGGACTCAGATAGGGACTGAAAACACAATCCACATATTGGCTTGGGTGATTCGAACCCCGGTCACAGCGTTAGAAGGTGAGGAAAGTACCACTACGGCAACCTGATCCCATAAAACAGGTGAAATGATGACTATTCAGATTGATTCAAATTGTGTAATATTCATTTAAAAAAACATTTTCTCAAAAACTCACTTGGTACAGGGCAAGGTATTCCTCCAACTTCTTGAACGTTATCGAGTTCTCAGCTGCACTGGGCCACGTGCTGGGGGATACCTCAGTTGCAAATTCATCTAAGGCCTGCAGATAAGAACAAGCAGCAGGCCAAGAAATTGAGGCATAGAGGATAAAACTTTGAGTCTTGCTCTTGTTAACAGGAGTATTCTCCTGAGAACAAGAACAACACAAAGTGCATCTACAGGGTGTATCGCCAAAACCCCCCAAAATACTCAATAATAAATACTGGTTTGTATGTTACAAATTTTGAACTTGATAAGGCCAAAAAAAAATAGTTCTGTTTCCGATTACATGGTATTTGAAAATAGGATAGGTAGGTAGGGAAAAAAAAATTTGCCAATTTTTTTTGTGTACGATCATATGGAGGCGTCTGCATGTAGTCAAGGGTAAAAGGTAAAAATTGATGGTTTTGGGTGTTTCTTTTCCTCATTTTTCCAATAAAAAAATTAGGGTAGGGGCTGTTAGAATAGGGTAGGTAGGGAAACCGGAAGCAGAACTATTTTTTTTTTGCCTCATTGTTGATGTGGTTGTATCTGAAAGGGTTGTTTATCAGCTTTTCATTGATACTTAACATGCATTCTTGCAATCATGGACGACAGAGCTCAATCTTGTCTAAAAATAATCTTATTACCACAATCTACCGGTATCACTAAAAAAGAGATTTCGCTTTACCTTGCTCATAAACCTAAACGCAACTCTTGAAGGATACTCGTGATCTGCGATGACAACTCCCGATAAACAGTCACTTCGGACGTATGTGTGACAGTTGTACTCTGCCATATCAAAAAGCATAACCACACAATAAGATAAAATTGGTAAACAAACTCCATACTTGTAATCAAATCAGTCACAAACCACTTGAAGTCACAAGCTATTCCAATGAACTGTGACAAAGGCATTCCCCCAACCTGGACATTATCACGCAGTGAAGACTGGGTCCTCACACCGTTATTCCCATTAATAAATACCTTTTAATGAAATAAACAGTTAAAATGCTCAAATTTTGTGACTTTTCTTTCAGCGATATTTCCAGACTTTTTGTGTTCATGTTGAGGGGCCATATTTTAGATTATGCCTGTGATATGCTACCCTGTCTTTTTAGCATATTCAGTGTGTTATTCAACTTCATTGCATTATGACTGACATCCAGGGTGTGCCCCTCTGCTGCCAAAGCGAAACAAATTACATTTTTTTTTTAAATGTTGTTTCCTGACGGAGGAAGCGGGAATTTTGTTTACAGTTCTCGCGTTTACAGAGATGCTCAGTTTAAAAGTAAACATGTCTGAGGGCGACATGTTTACGGAAAATAAATCACAGATCGACGCTTTTGACGTAAACAACCTCAGTACTAACATGTTCATAGCTGCCAACTTTTCAAAATCCCAATTAGTAATCAACCCGCGCGGTCATTTTCAACTGCTCGTTTTATCAAAAGCTTTACCAACATTGAGTACAGATACATGGTTTACATGTACACATACATGTGCATACCCTTCTTGTTGTGAATAATAATGTACTGGAGGCCAAAAGATAATTAAAAAAAATAATTAAAACATTTTTAAAAAAAAATATATATTTTTTTTTTTAAATTTATTTTGTTTCAATGTCTGTATTTGTTTGTTGAAGTCAAATAAATATTAACAATAATAACGTGCGCATATTTTTTTGAGATGCATGTTATCGATGTGGAGTTTCGAGTTCGTATCAATGTTTACACACGTTGATTTAGGGCCACCGTATGCAATAGAAATATCCCGTCAACATACCTTGCAAACGCATGCTGATTTATCTTTTCTGGACGTTGTGACAAACTTAAACTCTATTACCAATTATTCCAACCATAATCCTATTAAATTCCATGATTAAAATCTCACACTGATAGACTCATCCCAGCAAAAAGCGACCAAATGTGCTCACGATCGTCACTGAAAAGTACTCACAATTCACATACAGTACACACAACCACACATCCACGAGATGCAGCACACAAATGACACACCATTGACAAATAGTTTTAGTCTGGTCCTCAAGTACTCCACTGCGCACACTGCATTGATGTCTATCAGGTGCTTGACTGCATTCTTATTAGACTTGTCACCAGTCCATCCATTATCGCGACATTTCGCCAGAAGTTTTCGGTCAAAAACGATACTTTACAAGTATTTTTTTTTCGTTAGGTAGAAAATGGGAAATTCGTAATGTTTTAGTGGCATATCGTATTTTCGTAATTTAACAAACAATTCGTAAAAATTACGAAAAATTTGTAACAGTTGGCAGCTATGCATGTTGTGTACAGATTTATTCCGCGCAAGCATAACAACCATATTGCATACGCACGCGTAAGTCTTCACATGACAGTGGTTGAGCGCATGTGTACTGCTGTATTGTTACAAGCTACTGTAGGATTGTTGTACATTTTGCCAATCACTGGTTTACATGACGCTGGAACAAAGCTGGTTCAGGGGCCATTTATTCGCCTGTTTTTGAAGCCGATTTTAATTCTCCGGTTCGTTAGTGTGATGTCAGTTCAGTTTAAACCACGCCCACGAGCCATTAAGTAGCTTTGGAACCACTGGAACCAGAAGCTAACGCAACTCGTGTGTTTATCCAATGGGTGCTAGTAATCAGTGGTGGGCGCGCATGTATGACGTTTTTACTAATGCATCGGATATCACATTTTAATGCACCCCCACGGAATCGAGTCTCGACAAATCAGAAGCTATCAACTCTCCAAGGTATTTATGAATACTGGTTTATCCTATTTATTGATGCTCAATAATTGTGTTGTGTAAAAACACAAAGGAAAGTCAACTCAACAGATTTCGAATGAACAAACAAAATAAACACAAAACTGGCAAAGTAAACCACCATCCTGTAGTGAATGGCTGTCATCTTTGCTAGTGTGTGATCCCACTGCTGTAACAACACCCATACAATACAATTACTTCAATGAAATGCTATTAAGCAAGCCAATTATCAAACATAAACCTTGTTCTTTCACTGTAGACCTGAGGCCTGGCTGTGTCCTTTCCACCACAATTCGAGATGTGAACTTCATAAACTCTTGAACACTAATAAGACAAAAAATATAAAAAAGACAACAATTCAATCTATGTAGTTCTAGTTATGCTGACCCAGACAAAATTGCTAAGTTTTACCCTTAACCATGTTAACTCCTAGGCATTCTTGCTGGGGCCTTTTGATTATCAAAAGAACAATCATCTGTATTCTTGTGAAAGAACTCCTTCTCTGAAGTCACGGCTCTTGTCAGCTCTGCTGTCCTACTACTACATGTACATTTTACTTCATGGAAAACATATAACTACAGTGAAACTGACAGAAATTCAATTAAAAAAACAGAGCCTACATGACGAATAAATAGAAACTTTTTAAAACTTACTAAACGTGAACTTGGAATCTTCTTCAATTTTGAGCAATATCAAAATTAATTGAAAATATTTGGTCACATCCAAATTACTTGACAAAAGTGTTGGCATTTAGACATGTGTCTATTGCAGGCATGCAACTTTTCCTCGGATCAGCTGATTTCCTCTTTTTTTACTTCCCATGTGTGCCATTGAAAATAGAAAAACACTGTACAAAGTCTGGGAAAAATTTGAATTTCCTCTTTTTTTGGTGATTTCCCAGTTGCATGCCTGCTATTGGCATGATTGGAAAAGGATTGAACTGCTTCAATAGGCGTACATGTACGTGCAATTGCCGGCCGTAGCTGAGCACTAGACTTCTTCCTTATGCCCTGTCTACTGCACATGTGGGCAACAACAAATGCGCCTCTCTTCAAAGCCACTCTGCATGTCCCAACCATGCATGTTATACATGCGAGCATGTTGGACATTATTCAGCACTGTGTAATTAAGGCAGAAGTCTATTGGGACGCTGTCTTACCTGCTTTTCTGGAAGTAACCGAATGATGTTAGATTATAGGCACTGGATAAGGAAACCACTTTGGGTTGGCCCTTGTACAGCACAGTGATGGCATAAAGCTTCATCCTACTACCGCTTAGAGACCTTTCACTTCTAAAACCAAGTCTGGATTAATGACCGCCGCCTGGCGTTACCGGCACCTGACTGCCGCCTGACGTTACTGACCCGCCTGGAAATAATTCCCAAGAATTCACTGTTGAGATGAAGAAATGATAACAAAAAAGTACGAGTTGTAAGGAATTTTGGAATGGTACTAAATTTAAATATACCAAGTGCATGAATTAAAGAAAAAACAGGAAAAAGAAGGTGGGCTGTAAAAAAGGAAGTGAGTAGGGTGGAGAAACTGGTTTAGTTTGTTTTATTTAGCCTAAAATTGATGGGCAAAAACAATCTTAAAAAGAGAAGGCCACCCATCCAATGTTCAATGCTTCTGATTTAAAAATCTGAGCCACAGTGTATCAATGAATATTTTGAGATTTCAGGATGTAGTCACAGAACTAGGCTCTAGCAAGGATATAAGGGCCCTAAAAACAAACATATTTTTGCTCATTTCACATATGCTCATTTCACAATATAATAAAGCATGAAAGATGTTGTGTCTAGTTTTTTTGTTATAGATGTCTTTGACAACAGGTGCCTTTGTAGGCCCGAAGACCCGATATACATGTAGAAGGCGCCGGCTGAATGGTCATAATCTCGAGGTCAAGACACAGTTTTTGTTTTGCTTAAATCCCCGAATCTGCTCACATACCATAGACCCTTGCTTTGCAAGGGGTATTCCATGACTAATGTACGTAATACCCTCTGATCAGCATAAACCCTACGCGATGGTATGTCAACTTAGAGACAATGTTGTGCACTGTTGCGTGACTGAGTGATGCGCAGATCGATGCATGCAAGTGTTAACAGTCTCAGTTTTCCCAATATGCTGATCTTTCAGAAAGGCAAATGTTGGTAAAATAAGGATGGGCGAAATAATTAATGACCCTCCCATTTGCCAAAAAACATCATTTTTTTTCATGCTGAAGGCGCTATCACCATTTCTACTATATAAAGCTACTTCCAATGTTCAAAAGTCTACAAAATTTGTTTACACTGGGTTGACGACCGTTGACACTTGTTGAAGTCAGTTGACGCATTAGGACCCTAGAAAATATGGAACTCTTTTGGCTGGAATTACCTCAGTCCTATATGTTATCATTGGGTTGTTGTACTAGGGCTGGAGGAAGCTTTCAACACGGACTAGCATCTTTAAATTTTTATTTTGAAAATGTGCCATTTTGTTCCGGTGACACATTAATTCCCCTTGGGAGTTGGGACTCACCCAAACCTTGTCTGGCATAACCACTACACAGGTCCTTAAAGAAAATAACGATCCACGATGTGTACAAAGGAATGTCAAAGCGCGGTTGATTTCAATGCACAGCACACGCACCAGTAAAACTTGCCAACTGCGCCCTGAAGCGGCGTAGCGCACACCTGACGACTTTTTGTCGGCAAACTTCGGCTGCCGTTCTACTACAATCGTGATGGGAGAGACAAGCCTGCATTTGGACTACTATCGCCTGACCACGTCCAAATGTTAAAAAAGGCAATTTGAAGACTCCTAGTTACTCGGACTAGGGCTGAGGTAGCCCCACTTGTGTGGCCTCTGTATTGCTGCGCTGTATGTTTAATAGGCCACACGTCTGGTTTCTCAACCTACTGAGGAGTTTTAATAGTCCGAAGCTGGCGCATACATGGACTTAAGAAAGCTGTCTAAACTTTTTCAAAAATACATGTAAGTAGGAAAGATTCCCATGTCTGCCAGCACTAATTTTTCCCTTTAGTGACCTATCAGCATAATAATATGCCCTAAAAAAAAATATCAAATTTAGCACTAGCACTGGGAAAATATTGAAGTATTCACAGCGATCATGTATCTACGGGCCCGATTCCTATATAAGGGAACAAAATCCACTTTTAAATTATTTGACCAACCAAACTAGTTGGCTACATTAAGAACATAAAAGTATGTCATAGATAAAGGGCAGGGTTTTTCATTTTTGAGTGAAATTTGGGGGTAAAATGCCGATGACAACGACAAAACGCAACACGAAAATAAAGTCTTAAAGATGACGATCACCGCGCGATATACCATTTACCATGTGTACCCTCACGAGCACGCAAGTCCCGCTACACGGCACCAACTAGCCCGTAATTAAAACCACGTAGGAAAATCGTTGCCTTTTTCAGATGTCTATTTTTCGTAAAATTTCGATACGCAAACGTGTGCAAACGAATCTGGAAATTTCATGAAAAACAGACCTCTGAAAAAAGGCAGCACTTTCTGATTAGCCTATAAAGAGTGCAAGTATGTTTCTAAAGCAAAAATAAACTACAATTTAAGCCTAAATGTGAAAATCAAAATTTGACAAAGTTCGACATGTTCTTGTACATGTTCCAAGTGTCAATGATGAGTGTGGCCTTTATTTACGCATGGAGGTAGAATTCTACCTCCATGATTTACGGAGGCAGTCCAGTGAATTCGCCACATTGGGCTAGAGCTATGAGGCATGTGTCTGTGAGGTAACTCCACTCTCCAGCTAGAACTCTTTCAGTTAATTCATATTATTCGTTCAACTTAAAAAACTCACACTTTCGTCTCTTAAATGACTCTGGAATGTTAGCACTTGACGATTGAGCCAGGTTTACGGAGAAAAACAATCGAATCGAGCACAAATTTTGTACAGCTTCCGACTCGGTACACGGTACATGTACATGCACCGATCATATGGAGCTAGCTGTACAAACGTACGTACGTACGTACGTGTACATTGACAGAACACGTCACTGGAAATTAGGTTGGCGACAAAGATGACTAATTCGCCTGTCGTTCGTTTCGAATAAATATAAGGTGGGAATCTAGACGTATTATCAAGTCTTTTGGGGTTGGTATGGACTGCCACAGAGGAAAAGAAAGAAAATACAAAGTAAGTCAACAATCGTACGTCGCATTTGTCGACCCAGCAGTAGGCGTGGTAATGCTATGACCCTTATCACAACACCAGCGCGCGTGAGGGCCATAAAACAAGGAGCGGGTATCAGGTCAACTCGACCATTTGCCAACTCGACTGTGACCAACTTGACCATTTACCAACTCAACCGGTGTGGCATAACATCAAAAGCTGAGAAATATAAAACTGCTCAAGTCCACGTTTCCCCAATTATTATTATTATACTGTATTTTAAGAGTATGAGTACGAGTACTTTGCCATGAGTACGAGTACGAGTACATGAATTTTTTCTTGCGAGTACGAGTACATTTTCCATGAGTACGAGTACGGAAAAAGTACTCGAGTACGAATACGAGTACGAGTACTACAACACAGGATACAAAGATCCCTGGTTCGAATCCACGGCGTCCCTGCTCTTTTTCATCGACTGTTTTTTCTCTTCTCAGTGAATTTATAGTTGAGATAATTTTATTTTTAGGGAAAAAAAAACGAGAACCTAAGTGTCTTGTAATGATTCAAAGGAAAACTGAGTTATGCATGACTTTGGAGCATCCCGCCCTTGCCCTTTTTTTCGTTGAAAAGCGTAGTAGGAAAATCTGTGAAACTAATCTGTTTTGTAAATATTCAACTCCCGTCAGTTGCTCTGGCTCCGTTTCGAATTCACGAAGGGTCGAAATGCATATTATTCGACGCTCAAAATGTGTCCACATATGGTCCGCAATGAAAAAGAAATCACATCCGGTATGGAATGTATCTATGAGAAAGTTTCCAGATAGCTTTTGCATACATTGGCTATAACCGCGGTCTTAAACTGCAGGAGCTAGCTGCTTTATACATAGGTCATGAAAAAATTACCCAGAATGCCATCCCCGCTTCCTTTACATAAATTGGCAACCAATTTGAATTTTTAATAAACCATGAATAATAATAATTATTTGAAGCTCATCAGCCCTCCAGCGCCCTGTTTGCAGGGCGGTGGGTACGAGCGAACGGCTGCCTAGGCCTGACCTGAGATTCATCAGAAATAGTCAGAATCTTTTGGCCTAGGAACCAGACTACTGCAGCCATGTCTTTATAAATAGGTCATGATAAGTTACCCAGAATGCCATCCCCACTTCCTTCACAAGATTCTGCGAGCTCACCAGCCATTCTCACAGCCTTTAGTCAAGGCCGGCCGCGTGGCCATACCCGGACGTGTGGCGCCCCGGATGCTGCAACATTTTTTATTGAAGCCGTAACAATTGTCCCAAAGTAGGTGAAAAATAATATCTACATCTTGGCACCAAAAAGCTACAATATTAGCATCTACTTCGAAGATTTTAAATGCGATGTCGTTATTTTCGCGAAATAAAACAAACCCCAAAAAACCGAAGGCCTCTTTTATTGAACGAAAGCCAGCAACCAGCGAAAAAGGGGTCCAAAATAAAGTTTGTTTTCTGCAATCAAGTAAGTTAAGCTAAATATTAAGGACTGCCATGAAAACATCAATTAGACTTTTGTATTCCCTTTGATTTCAAAAGAGCAAACCCCTTAACTCACCTGAAAATGGGGGGATTCCCTGGTGGATTTACTGAACACGGAGTAGTTTTTGCACTCAACTGCACAATTATTATAACACAGCACGCGGGGTTCGCAATGGACCTATCCAGTAAGCACCTCCCCATTGTATTCTGACCAATCACAGCCGTGATTTATGTCCGACATTGCGCGCACAAAAGTCCGACATACGTGCACACGCGTATGATGCGCACGGCAGGAAAATTATGCAGTGTGGCATTGGAGAGGAGCACGTCTTAAATTGCCCCCGTGCGTAGTGGGAGGGGCTTACTGGATCGGTCCATTCAAACCGTAGGCCTACCACGCCGACGCGTGATTGGCCCGTTCGTTCCCGCGTGTACATTTCCTACGGACGGAGATATATGCGTACGTAAGTGCCTGCTATGGATTTGTGCACACGTCGCCCTGAAAACAGCGGTGCGACGGATGCCTTGGAACATTCTGATAATTGTTTTCATTTGGCGTTCTATACCCTCATTAACCCGGAAGAGCACGGTCTTGATACCTGTATCGGCTAGCGTTTATTTCACATCGCCTAGATAACCTGAACCATATACTAATCAGATCGCTGAAAAAACACTAGTATAGCAACCATTTTGTCCGATAGTCCGAGAAAGTCCTATAAATTTTTATTTTTTATTTTATTGGATTGAAATGTTGGCTGGATGTTAAGCTTGACTGGCAACACAAGTCTGTCAAAAATTGAGATACAATGTTGAGATTATCGGCGTCAATATATTTTTTGGTAACACCGACAAGCTTCCAAAATGCACGGTGTCCAGAAAATCGGCCTTACAATTAAAAAGAAACACAATCACACCTATGTCATTATATCACACAATAACCCAAAAGTATTTGTTTAATTGGATTAAAATTTGACCATGACTGGCAACACAAGCAGGTAAAATATGAGAGAAAACACGCAGATTATCGGCTTCAATATAATTTTTAGTAACAAAGATAATTATGCATCCAAAGTGAAGTCACGGTCTAAACCGAAAATCGGCATAACAACTTATCAGAAAAAACCCAATATCACACCTATGTCGCATGATAATTAAAAAAAACCCATTTATTTCATTGGGTTGAAATGTTGGCTGGATCATTTGACCATGACTCTACACAAGCCTGTTAAATATTGACAGCAACAGAAAATCGGCCTTATAGGCCTAATTAAACAGAATCACAATCACAAGATAACTGAAAAACTGTCTGACGTTCGGATTTGACTGAAATTTTTCCGAGAGGATGAGCATGTCCGAACAAGCATATTTAATACTGAAAGAAACAAACAGATTATCTGCGTCAATATATTTTGGTAACACCGAAACTGCAAAAATGAAGTCACGGTTTTAAGAAAATCGGCCTTACTATTAAACAGAAACACCTATTTCACTCGATAACCTATTTGTTTTATTGGACTGACATTTTTGCTAGAGGTCAGTTGAGCATGACTGGCAACAAAAGCATGTTAAATATTGAGAGAAAACACACAGATCAACCCGGGGGGTCCTGTCATTTTCTTTAAATAGAAATTCCTTAACAAATAATTCGACCCCCCCCATAGTGGTAATAATGTCCGCCTGTGCAAAACATACAGACAGAGCCAGCTTGGTTATGTGGTATTTGTACACTATTCTGTAATATAGTGTAAATAATCGTCGGATTTGAACAGCGCCCCCATCCTAGCTCCCTTTTCGATTTTCGGAGGCCGAGTGTCCGGAGGAAAAAACCTGTCTACATTGTATACTTTTTTGCTGATGACGACCCCCCCCCCCCCGCGAAAAGTCCTGGATCGGCCCCTGCTGGCAACACAAGCGTATATTTAGGGGAAACACGCAGATTGGCGTCAATATAATTTTTACTTACACGGACAAAACCCATCACGCAAAAGTGAAGTCGCGTTGTACAGAAAACATAGGCGTAGCCAGCGGGGGTGGGGGGGGGGGGGGGGGGAGTAAGGGGGTATTTACCCCCCCCCCCCCCCCCCCCCATTTACCCCCCCCCCAATATTTTGTAAAGACTGCATTTTTCCATTCAAATGCCTTTTATTCAAAGGGCTTACCCCCCCCCCCCCCAATAATTTGTAAAGAGTGCTCTTTTTTTTACGAAGAGCCCTTTTTCTGAACAAGTGCCCTTTAAAAAAAAAAAAGTGGTGCCCTTTTTGTGGCATCTGCCGTTTTGGATGCCTTTTTCAGAATTTTGCACATGTATCGCCCTGGAAAGCACCATATATTGGCCCTTTGTGTGCATAATTGTCGGTTTTGAACAGCGCCCCCGTCGACAAATGGTACCAGCCCCCCCCCCTTAACCCCCCCCCCCCCCACCCCGCTTTTTGATTTTACGGAGGCCAAGTGTCCGGAGAAAAAACCTGTCTACATTTCACAACAGATGTACAAGTGCCCTTTTCAAAAATATTTAACCCCCCCCCCAATAAAAATGACCGTGCTACGCCCTGGAAAATCGGCCTAACTACTTAACAGAAATACAACCACACCTATGTCATGATGATTACCCCGAAACTAGTTTATTGGATTGAAATGCTGGCTGGATGTTTAGCATGACTGGCAAGACAAGCCTGTTAATCCTAAAAGGGCCGGGTTATTTTGACCATCCCTTAGCCGGGGGGAAGATCTCGGCCATCGAATGACGAAAAATTGTGAAACTCGATACATGCATAGAGCAAATCATCATTGGAATTATGGCTAATTAATTATTCATATGTACCGTACGTATAGTAATTGTGCTCTGTGTGCACGACGTATATGAGAAAGTTCAGTTTTCACGGCGAGTAGCGCCGGAAAATTGTTCGCTGCGCGACAACCCGTGGTCCGATTTTTATGTTTTGGTATTAAAAGATGCGCAAGGCTCGAGGCTAAAAAGTCACAACAGCTCGGGTCGCGAAAAAAAATTCCAAGGCTATCGCGGAAAAAGTTGAGGGGGGGGGGGAGGCGGATTCCGCCCCGGCCCTTTTAGGGTTAAATAATTATTGACATAAAATAAAATTGAAATTACCGGCGTCATTACAATTTTTTGTAACCCCGACAAAACTGGCAAAATGAAGTCACGCTGTCCAGAAAATCGTCCTTACTACTTGACAGAAAAACAATCACAACTAGAGGTTGTAGGAACAACCACACGGTGTTGGGCCATGGATTACCTCAAACTTTGACACACACATCAACTCAAAATATGCATGTTTAAATCCAAGTTTGACTTTTCAACATGCCGCCAGAGGGCGCTCTAAC